CTAATCATTTTGACTTAAATCCGTAAAATCAGAGCCTCAGGATCAGCCCTGTTATGACGTACTTCCTGCCAGCTCTCATTCATTGAATTATTTATTTAGATTTATTCCAGATTAAATAAACTAGAGGTGTGTTTACGGGAGGTTAAGGTCAGTGGATGTGAAGATGATCGAAGGTTTCATCTCAGCGAGTTTTCATGTTTCCAGGATTTCTACGTCACCAGAGATGGGCGCCGGGCACACCTGGACGATCCTCTGGAGCATGGAGCCGTCTATCATCTGGAGCTCCGCCTCCTTGGAGGGAAAGGAGGTCAGTAAACGGAAAGTAGCTTCCAGTTTTCCTGCTGCAGAAGAGCTGAAGGAAACTTGTGAAATGTGTTTTAGGGTTTGGTTCAATGCTGCGCGCGCTCGGTGCTCAGATTGAAAAGACGACCAATCGAGAGGCCTGCAGGGACCTCAGTGGGCGGAGACTCAGAGACGTCAACCACGAGAAAGAGTGAGACAAACACACAAGAGCTGAAATGTTTAGATCAGACAGGAAGTGTTATTACTCTGTAGTCTTTAAAGTAGGGCTGGGTTTTGATTATCGATTAAAATAAATTCTAGCATGGATAACGTAAAATCGATTCATTAAAATCCTGAATCGATTTTTAAATAAAAATTTATTTTGCCTGAAACGCCAGAATCTCAGGTTAAACCTCACAAAACTTCAACAACCACCAAACGGCTAAAACAGATGCTAAACTCAAAGTCCGGACCCGCCGACGGGTCAGAATTAGGGAGATGTCGCCTTTCTCACCCGGCGGCACGGACACGGTCGGGGCTGAAAGCCGACAGCTCGCTGATATTTCGGCGGGTCGAGCTTTGTGTTTACGCCCTTTTTGCACAGATTCTGAAGCTGCAGGTTTTTATCTCTCCAAACAATATTGACTGAACCAGCAGGAAAGAAGATCCAAACTAAGCTTCACATAAACATCGTCATGGATTCACTCTGACTTTTGCTGTTTTGCTTCCACCACGATGCACAGCTCTCTCTCTCTCTCTCTCTCAACAACAGTTTCCCATCTAAAAATCAGTTTTCTTCATTATTTGCTTGCACACAAGTCTACAGCTGTTTACAGCGCTGTCGGACGCTGTTTTTTTTTTTTTTTTTTTTTCCTTTTACTTACTTTTGAAAACAAAGCCTCATTTCTGCTGTTCAATGATGAACATATTTAAACTTTTTAAAATTACGCAAAATTGCAAAACTCTCAGCTGTGTCTCTAATCAAACCTGTAGCTTTGCTCTGCTTCACTTCAGCAGCATCAGGTCATGTTCACATGTTGATTAATGGTTTTCTTTCGTTTTTGATCTACTGCAGAATATTTTTATAAAATTCCTCAGTTACTTTGACACAAAGGCATCTGCTGTGATGCTCACAAGCTTTCTTTTTATAGATATAAACATATGGAAATGTACTGATGCATCATCTGAATTATAATATTTCTGACTGTCTGAGGCAAAATTTCCCCGATTCAAATCGTGGATCGAATCGATTCGGGACCTTGTGAATCGGAATTGAATCAGTTCTAGAAATCAGTGACAATACCCGGCCCTACTTTAAAGGTCTTCCAGTAAAATCTGTGGTAAATGTAATGAAAGTCTCACCAGCAGGTGACAGCGTTCAGCCAGAAGGCTCAATAACGTCTGTTTGCACGTTTTAGTTTCCCCACCTCAGCGTGGAGACACCTGTGCAAACACCTCTCCTGTCACACTTTGCTCCGCCCCCTGCTTCCTGCTCTGGTTTGCTGTCACGTTGGCAGTAAACGTATTGAGATGTTTGGAGCCAGTTTAACAGATTTGATGATGATGATGATGATAATAATAATAATAATAATAATAATAATAATAATAATAATAATAATAATAATATTTGATGGCTGCACATAAAACATGATGAGAACAGAAACGCTTTGAATGTTATTTATACAGCACTGTCCAAGGTGTTGTCCAGGTGAGCGCACTTAAATTTCAAGTGTCTGAAAACGAGCTTTAAAACACCAGAAAAACTCTGAAAGGTGAATTTTCTACAGTTGATGTAAAATATTCAGGTTAATTATTGATGATGATTCACCTCAAACATCTGCTCTGCAGCAGCTGCTGCTGTAAGCTCAAAGCACTGTGATGTTGGGCCAGCAACACAGCTGTCAAACAATCTATCCCACCGTCGAGGTCACTTCCTCCTGCAGTTTGTGGGTAGAGTCTGATTGTGAGCGGCCGGTGCTCACTGCAGTGACATGTCTGTTCTTCTGTGGTGCGGCAGGATGGCGGACTGGCTGAAGAAGCAAGCAGAGCGCGAGGCAGAGAAGGAGCAGCGGCGTCTGGAGCGCTTGCAGAGGAAGCTCAATGAGCCCAAACACCAGTTCACCGACGCAGAGTACCAGCAGCAGTGTCACGACCTGTCCGAGCGACTCGAGGACTCGGTGCTCAGAGGTTGGCCGCGCTGCACAGCTCGCATGGTGAGAGCGCGAGGTCGCACGTGTTTGATGCCAGGTGTGTTTCCTGTTGCAGGTCTGCAGGCTTCCTCCAGCAGCCAGGTGAAGGTGGACGACATGTGCGGCGCCAAGAGGCTGAACTGTGATCAGAGTGAGCAGCCTGCGAAGAAGAAGACGAAGACAGCAGGAGGAGGGGGGTGCTTCTGGTGAGTCGTTAATGACAGGGAGAGTTGAACATGGCAGCTGTTACGCGATCACTCAGACAGGGAACGACAAGCACGCCGGCGGCGGCTCTGAGCTACAGCGAGCTTCTGAAAGGCAAATTATTCTCAATTATTGTCCTTGTCGAGATGGCAGGTCGTTCGCTGTGCGAGCAACATCAGACCCTGACAAATAAAAACATGAGGTCAGCAGACAGGGAGGTTCTGATTGGCTGAAACCCAACCGATGAAACCAGTTGAATCCTGTGAGGTCACGCTTGGTGAAAAACAGTTAAGTGGGGTGTCAGTGATTTCTGGTGAATCCATCAACTCAGCGGGCACTGTGATGTCAACAGGTTTCCTGGCGCCCGCTGACATCACAGCGTCTTTTATCAGCAGCTCCAGTGACCTCACCGACCACCAGCACAGATTCTTGTGTTCTGAGTTCAGCTGAACCGCTCGCAGCTCGTCTCTGATGGTCAGCGTCCGTTTACGTGAGCTTCTGTCGGCTGTATTTGGTTGGAACTGCATCGTCTGTTACCTAGCAACAAAATGTGGGAAGCTGAGAAGGTTCAGAGTGAAACTGACTGATCATGCTTGTGCTCACAGGACGGGGCTGGAGGAGATGGACGAGCCGATGAGCTCAGATGATGATGAGGCTCCGTCCACATCCAGCCGTGAAACTGCTGCTGCCATCGTTACCATGACAACACGAAGAGAGGCAGAGGAGGGTAGCAGGTAAAGCCCAAAGAGCGCCAGGGACCAGATCCACCGTCATTTAACGATGTCTGAAAGAGTCTTCTTTCATCCTCAAACAGTGGAAGCACCAGAACCACACAGATCCCCAAGGAGACCTCCAGGGACCAGACTGAGACACCGTCAGAGGACCGGGACCCTGAGGAGACCTCCAGAGACCAGACTGGGACACCGTCAGAGGACCGGGACCCTGAGGAGACCTCCAGAGACCAGACTGAGACGGTGTCAGAGAACCGGGACCCTGAGGAGACCTCCAGGGACCAGACTG